GCAGAGGGGGAGGTGTCACCGCCGCCTCCGCGCGTCCGGGCCCGCCCTACGTCACGAGGCCCCGCCCCTTTCCCCGCCCTCTGTGTGGGCGGGGCCAATTGAAGCTGAGAGCGACTCTGCAGACTGAATGGGACGCGCGCGGCTTTGGAGGGGGTCTGTTGCGCTCCTTCGCTTCTGGCTAGCCTGTCAGGACTGACTGCTGAACTGGGAGCCTGAGGAGGACAGAGGAAAAGCTTCATCACTCCACAGCGGCCCTTGCCTCTGTCTACCGTGCCTGGCCGCTGGGCTCGGTTTAGATCCGGGAACTGGCAGTACCGACTCTGCCAGCACCCGGTTCAGGGTAGTGGAAGCTGCCTGCAGGGGTCTTAGTTCTCTCTTTTGCCCGCTGGGCCCGCCGCCGAAGACTCTCTTAGTTAGGTGATCTCTTTAGCAGTGTGCCAGAGTGGCGGAGGAAGATGCCTAGGGCTGCCAGGCTTCCTTAGTTACTTAAAATGCCTTTTTTATACCGCAGTCAGCAGAACCAGCGGGAGGATGCCCAGCCGCAGACAGAGATCACTGACCCGCTCCTGGGATGCTGGAGAACTCTGCCTTCATCTCCATCTCCCTAGGAACCATGCCTTTTGGTTTTGAGCCAGGCAGTTTTTCTGAAGTTCCTTCTTTGTCACAGACTTGCAGATCTGGAATTTTTGCAATTTTTATTTTTTATTAGCACATGTGTGCTGTTCATGATTACATTCCTTGTATGTAGTTGGTAGTATACATAACACATCTTAATTCTTTTTTCATCCCTCTGCCTTCTCCCCCCTCCCCCCTCCTTCCCATTTGGAAAAGATCTCCCTATTTCCTGTTTTGCTCCTTATATTTTTGGTTTCTCATATAAGAGAAACCATGTGATATTTAAGCTTGTGTGATTTATTTCCCTTAATATTATGGTCTCAAGGTGCATCCATTTACTAAAAATGAGTCGTTTTTCTTTTTTTTCTGACTTTATGGCATAGTAGTACTACACTTTATAAATACATTTTCTTTACTCATCATCTGTCGATAGACATATAAGGATGCTTCCAAGCTTTAGTTATGTGTTGTGTCACTATGAACATGGGTATGCATGTATCTGTAATACGATGACTTTAACTTTCAGGAAGATACCTAGAAAAGGAATAGCTGTGTCAAATTGAATGTCTAGTTTCAGTTTTTTGAGGAATCTGTATGCTGATTTTCATAGTAGTTGTACTGGTTTATGTTCCCACCAACAATGTAGAGGGGTTCCTTTTCCTCCAAAGTCCTTGCCAGCATTTGTTATTATTTTATTTCTTGATGTTAACTGTTCTTTCGGGAGTAAGATCTGGATTATTAATGCACACCTAGCCATGATTTTTCTGAGGGTCTTATCTCCCTAGACCTACAATGCTTCACATGTAAGCTCTGTCATTTTAGCATTGGAAACCAGTTAGATGGGAATTAATGTACATTTCTTCTATGGCAGAGCGTGGGTGGGTCGATGTCAGGCATCTAATATATGCTTACCATGTGCATGTTGGGTTGACCTGGACTGAAATGGAGTTAGGTCAGGTCTATTCTGGATTCCTAATGGGCTTCGGGGATCAAATACTTATGGAGTAGAGGGGAGCTGAGCTGGGAATTTAGCAAAGATTAAAATGGTGAGATAATGCAACTAAATGTTTTGTGTGACACACCTGGATGTTAGCTGGGCTACTTAGTCTGAACAGACCTCCAGGGCCTGGTTCATCCTGTCCAGCAAAGTCTTGAACAGTACTGGGTGTGAGTGTATGACTTTACTCCTTGGTGGGTCACAGAGTTACTTTCCTAAGGCTTCTATATGGTTGAAGAGTACATTTGAAAGATCCCTAATATAATAACAGTGCTAGCAGTCACTAAGTTAGTTCAATTCTACATCTTAAGCTCTTATCAGCTCTTTCTCCATCTCTGTTGTCACCATCTCTTTCCATGACTGAAAGATGACTTCTCACAGGTCTCCTGCCCTTAGGTATCTCCATAACACCATACAAATCTTGATGAGCCCCCAACCCTTGAGATTAAAATCCTTTAGTTTCTTACTGTTACCCAAATTAAAATCGAAATGCTTAAGCTGGGTCCCTACCTATTGTACTAGCCCCATCTAGGTGTCACCTTTCTGTAACCTAAGATACTGCCTTGAGATTATTATGATGCTTCCTGGATGGGTCAGGCTCTCTGACACCCAAAAGTCCTTTGCAATCTCTTCCACCTGCCTGGATTGCTGGTTTCATCTCTAGTTAGATGGGCAATCTTTGCACATCCATCAAAATCCCAAAGCGTTATCCCTGAGATCCTCTGCGCCTCCCCACGACAGACCTTCCTCCTCTTCCACATCACTTTGAATACACCCATACGTACTGGGCACTGGTCTGACCTACTTTTTTGCATATCTGATTTCTCACTAGGTCGTGAGCTTCTTGAGGGCAAGGCCATGTCTCTTCATGGTAGTATCACTGCATAGGTTCTTAGTACGTTCAAAATCAGACTGTACCAGCCTTCCTAAAATTATGTTGTGAGACCTTGGACATACTACTTCTCTGTGACTTTTGTTGCTATATCTGTAAAACAGCGCTAATGATGCCCTCTGAACAAAATTTTGTAAAGACTAGCAGAACTTGTGAGGCTTACTGGCGTACAGCTGGCATTTACGGTGTACCTCGTGGCTAGCCACTGCCCTCTATAACTGTTGAAGCGACTCAGCATAACTGAAGTTGGGTACCAACTATATGCTATAACGTCAACGAGGTGCCAAGCGCCGCGCTAGAAAGGGCTGCAATTTGCCTTAGTCTAAATGTGTCTTAACCGTCATCCTTTGGGGACATAGGGCCTGAATCCCTAACAGTGGGACGCGTCTCACCCGGTATCTACGAGGAATGTAGTGCGACGTCTATCCCCAGCTTGCTTATGCAGCCCCAAGGCCAGCTCGGGCGCCCTTGCCAAACCAGCTCCCGGGGTCCACGACTGCACTTGCTCCACTGTTCCCCAGAGTTGTCGCGTACGGCCCCCACCTCTGCTGGCTTCCGAGAAAGTCGCCTCCATCCACTGAGCGAGGAGCCCCGCCCACCAGCGCTCCCCGGGGGCGGAGGCTGAGGCGTTGCGCTGTCGTCACTTCCAGCGGACCCGGAAGCGCTTGTCGATGGCCCGCGACACTTTGGAAGTCGTGATGGCATCGAGTTCAGTGTAAACCTTTGGCCAACTGTGGGTCGAGGGGGCCGGCCCGGTTTGCTGTGGCCGGAACAGGCGGAGAGGGTGGAGCAGCTTCAGGACCAGTGCGGCGAATCTTGGCTGTGAGCTTCTCTCCTGCCAGCGTCGCCCCGCCTTCAGGGTAGAACTCGCTTCCCGGCTCTGGGCCCTGAGACCCGGCTGGCGATTCTGCCAGGCTGTCACCCGCCTTGCATCTGGTCTCTGACCTTAGGGCGCAGTGAGTGTGTGGTCCGCTGCCTGATAGGTCTCCCCACGTTGCTTCTATATCCTCTCGTCTTCCGCGGTCCTCTCTTGGGCTGCCAGAACTCTGACGTGGAGGAACGCGCCTGGAGTCCCCATGGAGAAGTTTGGGATGAATTTTGGAGGCGGCCCAAGCAAGAAGGACCTGCTGGAGACCATAGAGAGTCAGAAGAAGCAGCTTCTCCAGTACCAAGCTCGACTTAAGGATGTGGTCCGCGCCTACAAAAGCTTGCTTAAGGAGAAGGAAGCTCTGGAGGCCAGCATCAAGGTGCTGTCGGTATCCCATGAAGCGGATGTGGGCCTCTCAGGAGTCCAGCCTTCAGGTCTCACCTTTCCTGATTCTGTGGATGACCACTGCTCCACTCATAGCGAGGATAGTACTGGTACTGCCACTAGCTTGGATACTGCAGCCAGTCTCACCAGCACCAGGGGTGATCTTGGAGTAGAGGATGACAGAGTGGCCCGTGGACTACCACCTCCAAAGTCCGAAGAGGCTAGTGGGTCAGAGAGTGGCGTGAGCAGTAGCAGTGGTGATGGGCCATTTGGAGGTGGTGAGGTAGACAAAAGACTGCATCAGCTGAAGACCCAGTTGGCTACTTTGACAAGCGCATTGGCTACAGTCACGCAGGAGAAGTCCCGCATGGAGGCTTCTTATCTGGCTGACAAGAAGAAGATGAAACAGGATTTAGAGGAGGCCAGCAAAAAGTCAGAGGAAGAAAGGGGTCGCTTGGAGGGAGAAGTGAAAGGGCTGCAGGAGCAGATAGCAGAAACCAAAGCCCGACTTATCACGCAACAGCATGATCGAGCCCAAGAGCAGAGTGACCATGCCTTGATGCTGCGTGAGCTCCAGAAACTGCTGCAGGAGGAGAGGACCCAGCGCCAAGACTTGGAGCTAAGGTTAGAAGAGACTCGAGAAGCCCTGGCAGGGCGGGCATATGCAGCTGATCAGATGGAAGGGTTTGAACTGCAGACCAAGCAGCTGACTCGTGAGGTGGAGGAGCTGAAAGGTGAGTTGCAAGCCATTCGAGATGAGAAGATTCGGCCAGATCCCCGGCTGCAAGAGCTTCAAGAAGAGGCCACTTGCCTTAAGAGCCATTTCCAGGCTCAGTTGCAGCAGGAAATAAGAAAGGTAATTATCCATGTTTCCTTTATTTTTATTTTTTTGAAAGTTTCATATACA